GGCTGAGGCGCGGGCGGTTTTTGTCCGGGTCCGACGCTGGCGGTTGCGACAGCCTGAGGTAAACAGGCGGCCGAGCGGCGCGGCTCCCCGACGAGGGTCGGGCGGGGCCGTGCGGCGAGCCGCCGGGGCCACGTGAGCTCCCCCGTTGGGTTTTGGCGGCCACGTCGGAGCCTGAGCGGAGGGTCGGGCGCGCATGGGGCCGCCGGTGGTGCGCGAGGCGGGCCTCGAGCTGCTCTGATTCCATGTTTCCCAAGGAAACAGGCAACAGTGCAGCGAACGCTGGCCGCCACAGTAATGACCGCGCCGACTCCCGCCACCGTCTGAGGCAGAACTAGCCTTTTCCCGTGTTAAGAGTGTGGAAACTGAGGCACAGGTAGGGCGAGCAACTTCGTCCTGATTGAAGCTGAGTTCGTGTGGAGAACTTGCAGGCGTCTCGGCGGGCTGTGGGCTGCGCAGGGGCCCTCGACCCGGCATCCCCACCCTTGTTCACCGGGGAGGAAACAGGCCCAGAGGTGATGCCCAGGCCACGGCGGACCCTGCGGTGTGTCAGGAGGGAACCTAATGTCGCCTGAGCATGGACTCTTGTCAGGGTAGACAGGAAAGGAAAGGGCTGTGGGGAAGGGTGCCCGCAGCGGCCGTTCCTCTTCGGGCTTGCTTGCGGCTTGACCATCAGTTATAGCCTCCCGTTCTCGTTATGCGAGTAGTCCCTGAACTCCGGCCGTTCCCGGGAGTGTTCTAGAAGGCCGCGGATACAGCGGTGAACAGAAGACAGCTTGCTCACACAGACACAAACTGTAAAGTCCCTCACATGTTCCTGCCACACACCAACTTCTCGCTGGTGCCTCTCCCAGTGCCCTCCGGTTCCCTTACTGGGAAAGCTGCCTTCCCTGGGATCGCCTCCTGCGCGGGACCTTTCCCAGCCCGACCCCAACACACATCCCCATCTAAGGCATAGGGGCTTTGGAATGTTCCACCCGACCAGGGCTGGGGAGTACCCATAGCCCTAATCCTCAAATGTATGCCTCTCCACTCAGTATCCTAAATCTCACTCTCCTCTGGGAATCATTCACTTGTTTCCACCTCAAGGCCATTTCCCACCGGTGAGTCCCTCCTCTGGAGCCCTGGTGGCCCAATGGTTAAGCACTGGGGCCGCTAACGAAAGACTGGAGTTTGGAACCCACCGGGAGAAAAGACCTGGCGATTTGCTTCCATAAAGATGACAGCCAAGGAAACCCTACAGGGCAGATCTCCTCTGTCCAGTAGGGTAGCTATGAGTCAGAATTGACTCCATGACACACAACCACCCCTCCACAATCCTCTCTAGCAATCTGTGAGTAACCCATTTTATGAGTCTCTGTTTCAGTGAAGTACATCTATTCTCTGTCCCTCAATTTAGGATTCACTAGCCCATTCTCATTACCTCTGCTGTCCCTTACGTCATATATGCAGGGTTTTTTAAGAAATTTTGAGATTTTATTTTAGGTAGCAACAATGGAGAATAGGACTGTCATTCTATGATGGGACAGTAGAGAGCAGATAGTTGGTGAAGAACCAGGCTTTTAGAAGCAGGGATAGAGTGGGAAAGACCCTCAGTGGGTTCAGTATTTGGGAGGAGCCTGTGCTTGGTGCCTGTAAGTTGCCAAATATTCTCATTATTATTGAACTGGGTTTGAAGGCAGGGAGTCTGCAGAGGTGCTGATCTTCTTGAAGATTGGAATTTACTTTTGGCAGAGCTGTGGGGTATGGAGGTAGGGTGTAGGGACCCCAAAAGAGGCTAACTTGGAAGAACCAAAAGCAAAAACTAAACCCATTGCCGTCAAGTCGATTCCAACTTATAGTGACCCTATAGGACAGAGTAGAACTGCCTCATAGGGTTTCCAAGGAGCAGCTGGTGGATTCAAACTAACGACCTTTCAGTTAGCAGCCAAATGTTTAACCACTGAGCTGCCAGGGCTCCAACTTGGAAGAGTAGGTAACAGTGGGTAGTGTGGAGGCAGCTGGAAGACACAAGAAGTTACTTCCAGTTTGGACTGAGTGCAAGGCTAAATAGCAAAGGCTAGTACACCAAAAAACGTTCCCTGATAATATTTAAAGGAACCTCTGCTACAGGTCCATAGGGAGCATCACAAGTGCGGCTACCTTATAAGCTACCATGGGATCTGGCCCTTCCTAAGAAAGAGAAACAAACTAGTTGAAGAAAAATGAAACAGAGATGTAAACATAGGTGGAAACTGCAGCAGAAGGACACCTAGTCCCTGAAAGGCACAAAGTAACTAAGAAAGGGCTGAGCAGGGGGAGCTACATGTGCTGTAATGACAGATAAGGAGTCTTTGGGTGGCAGAAGTGGTTAAGCACTTGATTACTAACCAAAAGATTGGCTGTTCAAACCCACCACAGGCACATCAGAAGAAAGGCCTGGTGATCTGCTTCCAAACAGTCACAGATGTGGAAACCCAGCGGAGTGCAGTTCAACTCTGCACACATGGGGTCACCATCAATGGGAATTGATTCAATGGCAAGTGGTTTGTTGTTGTTTGTGTGTGTGGTTTAATGACAGGTAAAGTGGAAAGAGAAGAGGAGGACCCTAGAATTCCCTTACCAAACCAGCTTGTCTACTAAGAGAAGAGGAGATTGAAAATGTGAACTTGAAGGAGAATTTGAAATGCTGTTGCATCTGGTGGTTTCTTTGCCTTTCAACTGAAAAAGAGAAAGGTTCCCTACCACCCTTCACCTTAAAATTCCTCAATAAGAGAGACTTTATCCTGGAGTGAGCACTAAGGTTCAGAGAGTGGCGTAATTTAAGGCTTCTTGAAGGGAGAAGAGTACCTGCACCTAGAAGTCAACCTTTTTGCATACCTTACAGTCTCCTGGCTAAGCGTCCCCCACTCCACCTCTTTCCATCATAGCTAAGTATAAAATAATTGTTGCAGTATGGCTTAGAGCCTAAGGCAATTATCAATAAGGTATTCCTAAGAAAACAGAATAAAATATAATCTTGCACTAAATTCCAGAGGATTTTAATTAGACACTGGGTGGGGGAGAGTGAATGTGTGCATTACAGGTCTTGTTTAGGAAGGGAAGGCTATAGATGCTGATATGTTTATAGAAGAAGTATAAGCTTAACCATAAATTTTTAAATGTAATGATGATCCCTAGAAGACTTGACATAGGCCCTTCACTTTCAAACAACTTGAGAGGAAAAAGAAAACTAATAATAATAAAAGGTAAATAGCAAGAATATAACAGATTTGAATAATACAGTTAACAAACTTGATTTCATAGGTTTATATGAGCTTTCATAGCAATACACAGAGAATATACATTTATTTCAGTCATCCATGGGTCTTTTTTGCTGAATTGACTGTATTGGGTCACTTAAAAACTCAATGAATTCTCAAAAGTAGAAATTACACAGTCTGTGTTCTGAATACACTACAATAATTCTAGACATTAACTACAAAAGGAAAGCTCCCCCCCAAAAAAAAATCATTCTAATTGCTAATTAGGAAACACTTCTAAATTACCTACTCTTTTGTAAAAGAAAAAGTCCAAGGAAATTGTAGTCAATTTAGAAATAAAGGTCACTGAGTAACCAGTTTGTAAATGAGGGCAAATTTCTCTTTATCAAAGTATTTCAGCTAATAAATTAAGAATGAATGCAAGAATTAGAATTTCACTATTTTGCATTGTATTGTCTTTTTTTTTTTTTTTTAAGAGTTCCTATGCTTTAGAGATACATGCTGAAATATTTATGGGTAAAATAATATATCTGGAATTTGCTTCGAAATAACACAAGAAGAGGGTAGTGGATGAAGGTATAGATGAAACCATGAGCTGATCATTGTTGAAGCTGAGTGATAAGTACATAGTGGTTAATTTTATTTCATCTATTTACGTTTGATAGTTTTCACAATTTTTTTAAAAAAGAAATGAAGGTAATAAAGTTTGACATGTAACAAAACCTAAATGAGAAGGAAGATGGCTGACTGAATACATTTATTTAGCCTATCAAAATCCCACTGAAGTGACAGTAAAGAAATACAAACAAGAATAAGCCCACAACAGCACTGGATTGGTTCCTCAGTGGACTAGTTATTAGCAACCTGGAAGAAAAAAATGACAGAAGACAACAAGAGATGCAGCAAACTAGAATGTCCAAAAACAGACATTGTGAGACCTTAAGTGTACACAGTTTTTAAAAACAGCTTCACTGAGATATAACTGTATACAAAAACATATCAAAGTGTACAGTTTGATGACTTTTGATGTATGTATGCACCCATGAGACCATCACTACAATAAAGATAATATAAAAAAACATGATGAGATTTTGAATGGGATTGTGTTGATTCATTAGATCAATCGTATCTATTACCTTTAAAAGTTCGGTCATCTGTCTTCTTTCACTCAGCATGATTATTTTGAGATTCAGTGATGTTGCTTGTATCAGTAGTTCCTTTTTATTGGGTGTGTGGATGTACCCACAATTTTTTTTTTATCTATTCACATGTTGATAGACATTTGCGATGTTTCTGACTTTTACCTGTTATAAATAAAGCTGCTGTGAACGTTTGTATGCAAGTCTTTGTGTAGACACGGTCTTTCATTTTTCATGGATAAACACCTAGGAATGAAATGGTTGGAACATACGATAGTGTATGTTTAGCTTATTTTGCCGACTGTGTATCTTCTTCAGTGAAGCGTCTTTTCAAATCTTTTGCCAATTTTTTAATTAGGTTGTCTTACTT